TGTTGGGGGGGCCAAACACACTGCTTTAATCCCCGCCATGGGGTTTTACGGTGATGGTGCTATGGTGTTCAGGGAAGGGGCTGGGCTGGTGGGATGCTTGGGATCTCTGCAGCAAAGCTACAAGAGGATGGTGAGAAGCTAAATGAGGATGGGGACAAAATGAGGGGCCTGGGGCTTCCCCGTGCCCGGCTGCCCCCCCGGGTGGAGCCCCCCCGGCTGCCCCAGCAGAGAATTCAGTGACTCCCAGCGCCTCTGTAAGAGCCGGCTGGGGAGGGAGGGGAGTTACTGCCAAGATGCTTGGGATCTCTGCAGCAAAGCTACAAGAGGATGGTGAGAAGCTAAATGAGGATGGGGACAAAATGAGGGGCCTGGGGCTTCCCCGTGCCCGGCTGCCCCCCCGGGTGGAGCCCCCCCGGCTGCCCCAGCAGAGAATTCAGTGACTCCCAGCGCCTCTGTAAGAGCCGGCTGGGGAGGGAGGGGAGTTACTGCCAAGGATCCAGCTCTGGGTCTGGAAAGCTCTCCGTTCTGGACAGCGTGTCTTTTCTGGGGATGCCTGTTAAGATTTCCAGCTTGGCCAACGAAAGAACGAGCAGCACCTTTCCTCTCCTACCAATAGCCATTATTTTAATTTTGATGATTTTGATTCCTTTAGAGGAAAAAAAAATCACTCCTAGCAAAATTCTGCAATTAGGAGAGACTTGGGGTGGGAAATCCTGGGCAGAGGGTTGGGAAGCATTGCTGTTCCTATTCCTGAGCGTTGTGGGCAGCAGTGTAGGCAGGCCACAGAAATGGCCTCGGGATACGGAGAAAAAGAATTGCTTTGCTGCAGCCCAGTCAGGCAAAGCCTAGCGGGATAGACCTGCGACAAAGCAAAACGTTCTGCATTCACACCTTCAGAAAGCCCAGTCTCAGCGTGGAGAGATGGAGCAGGTTTTACTGCAGTGAGTAGCAGCCCGAGCGTGTGTAAGAGCGAGTCTTCATGTGCATGGATGTGTGTAAATGTGTGCGTGAAGGATGGGCAGGAACAAAGGAAGAAGGAATTTTAATGATGGAAATCAGAAAAAGCACAGCAGGAAATGGATATAATAATAGAATTAAATGGCTATAACATTTATTCTTCTGACTTATGAAATGGATGGTGTGTTTTGTCTCGGAGGAAATAATGCATTGATTGGTTTGTAATCACTCAATCACTGAAAACTAAAAATGAGGTAAGAAATACTAAATGGATAGATATTTGTACAAGCAGATAAAGGAGTGGTAATCTAACATAACATAAAGAAACCCTCTCTGATCTGAGATGAATCTCTCTGTTCCGCAAACTCTTTGAGGTTTTAGACCAAATAGAGCTTACTAGGGGAAGACACAGACCGGTGAAATAATTACAAGTCCAGGGGCCGCAAATGGCACCTTTGGCTTTAAGCAAACCACGCAGCTGCCTTGCCACCGCCTCCCCACCAGGACGACACTCCTTTGTCCACATCCAGGCAATGTTTTTACAGACAGCAAGTGCAATATTCATAGTAATCCAAGAGAGAGAGGGATCAGGTTGTACTGCCCGGATGCTGAAAAGCATGGGTGTTTGTCATATCCACGAGTCAGAAATCTTAGGCTTTTTGTTTGCACTTTGGCTTTTTACAGGCTCGGTGCCTTTATTAGGCCAAGTTCTGCATCCTTTGCTCATGCCTATCGTTCCCCTGGCTTTGATCAGACGCCTCATGTGAGTAATAGCATCGCTTGGTCCATGCAGCCAGGAAAACGCTGCCCAGCTGATGTTAGCTGGCTGCTCAAGCTTTTAAGAAGTGACACAGGACACCCTACAGAACATACCTCATTAATAAAGTCACCAATATCCCCTGGATGTGGGATTACTGGTCTTACAGGATACTGTGGTTCAGCACCAATAGGTCTTTCATCCACCCTTCTGACTCCAGGTGTCTTGTTCAGCACGTGATCCATGGTCTCTGGCTGCTGGAGCTGGCTTAAATCGTAATCCTGTGTGACAAATGGAAAGGCACAGAGTGAAACCAAGAGCTTTTCATTCAGATCATCTACTGACCCAGTGTACAAACAAGTCGAGGGGTCTAATCCTATTTCAGCTGAAGTTCGATGGCAAATCTTATCCCCCGGTATGTAGCGCTATCTAAATTACAGATGAACCTGACGGGCGAGTAGCTCATACAATTGACCTCCTAAGAGCATATTTTAAAACAGAAGTTAAATCAAATATTTAAATACTTTCTGAATATTTTACACAGTGTCTAAATCTTTGGGATAAAAAACTGGCTTCAGTTTGTGTGTGCATAGGTATGTGCATAACTTTTTGATGAAATACATAATATAATGTAAAGACACAGTGTCGGTAGACATATTATTGCAATTACATTTGTACAGAAATAAAAACATTAAAATGTGTATTGCATTTATGCATGTAGGCCTTTCAAAGTAATTATGTTCTTTCTGCTTGTGAAAAATCCCAACAGAATAGGTTTCTATCAAGGAATGAGAACCAGGTAATATTTCATTAAAAATGTATTCATGTAGGTAATGGTGTTTTGCTGCTCTTCCTTTGCTGTTATTTTTAATGAATCCTTTCTAAAATATTTAAGCCTACAGTGTAGCTGCCTGAAACCAGACACTGCAGCTAGTTTGAATGCTTATAACAGTACTTTGTTCTACCGGTAAAACTATTCTTGTGCTCAGACGGGGATGATTGAATCTCCAGGAGCAATATTTATAAATAACTTGTCAGTGACAAGAAAAAAGAAATGCTAATTGCAAGGATTTTTCCGTTGAATAAGAACTTCACAAGTTTTGGGCAAACTCCCTGCCTCAGCTCCCCCGCGGTGCCTCTCGCCAGGCTCACCCGCTCGCCTTCGGGTGCCACCGGGACCCCCCGGCAGGACGTGCTGCAGTGGCTTTGGCTACTCCTTAAGCACCAGCCCCAACCGCTGACCTGAGGACTCACTGACACCAACCATGCACACAGCAGCCTCCGCTCAGACCCATGAACAACGCAGTCTGATTAAGCAAGCAAGAATAAAGCCATTATATGATGCAGAGTCACGTAATTTGCATGGACATCATATTTGAGGGTGTCATGGGCTCTTTACTTGTGTTAGGAATAAAAAACCAGTGACTTAAACATGAGAGACAAAACTGCTATTTTAGCTGAGGAAATACATCCGTAGCAGAGGGACAGCACGTCCCAGGAGTGCAGGCCAGGGAAGTTGTTATGCGACATCAGCATTGATGTCTGTAAGAAGAAGCCACCGCAGAAAAGCTGCCGCATTCAGGCAGACTGTGGCTTAGGGCTCTGTCACCCAGCAAAGCTTTGCCACTGTACGCTTCGCGGTGAAAAAGAAAATCCCCAAATGTATTTAGACATTTCTCACAAACCACATCCAGAAATTAAAAGAAATTAAAAGCACATTAGAGACGATTAAGTAAATGCAGGGAAAGCCCACAGAAACCCACAGAAGCTCTAGGCTCAAGCAAGCCAAGGCAAGTGCCTGCAGCCACAGGTCTGGGGGAGGGCGGTAGCTGCTAGCTGGTTTTGATCTCTGATGGGGAATGGGAAAATACACAATTTTAATGACCAAAATAGCAGAAATATTGTTTGAACATGAGTGTCAGCAGATTGATTTACAGTCCTTCCCCAGGAAGCTGGCCTAGGGGGTAGCAAAATCCATGTAGCACTGGCCTCCCCGCACGGTCCTGTTTGCACAGGAGAGTCTCCCAGGGACACGCTGGACTTAAGCTGGCTCTCACCGATGCCCGTGCCACACTGGTGAAGCCAATAAAGTTCCCTGGGTATAAACGAGAGCGAACGCAACCCTTAGCAAGTACTCTAGTGCAAATAATGTGGTTTCTGCCTTTTTGCGAGTATAGATTGCACAGCTGCTCCTTGGCCACGACCTGCGGGCTCTTCTCACCTGGTCTTCCTCTCCACCTCCCTCTTCGTCGTACTTCAGAATATTGTCCCTGACGTCGTCCTCGGGGTCGATCAGGAGCTGCTTGGTATGGCGCTCCTTCTCCCGGCGTTTCATCCACACCACAAACAGCAGAACCATGGCTGTAAGGGAGAAGAAGTGGGGTGAGCCGGGATCTCGCATGGCACGAGGGCAAGCCATGTGTGTCAGAGCGTGGTGGCGTGTCCTAATGCCTCACCTGCCCTCTTCCACTATGGAGAACCTCACTGGCTGCTAGTAAGAGGAATAAAATTTTATCCTATTGCATGTTCTAATTTATAAGGGAGAGATCAGTGAGAGCTGTAAGTACTGTGACAGGCCTCCACTACAAACATTTCTTTAAGATCCATCACGAATGCTGATTGAGCTGATGTTTATCAGAAGTCAAACACACAATCAAAGGAAAAGCAAACAGAAAGTGTGAAAAGTGACGTTTTCTGAAAATATTTGATCTAAATCCTGAATTTTCAGGATTAGATTTCCACCTTTATTTTATTTAGGGGCATAAAATAAAGGTGGAGGAGAGAGAGCTGCAGAGGTGCTGAGAAGCAAACTGGTACAGATGACCAGCACCTTTGCACGAGCGGCTGTTCCACCAGTGTGACACGGCGATGCCCGTTCAGGTCGCGAGCACTGGCCATGGGCAGTCATTTTGTTGTTGTCTGCAGTATGCCACGCAAGACTGGTTTGGGAGGGTGGGTAATACAGGGTTGCGTAATCTGATTTGGGCTCACTTACACTTTTTTTTGGTGAGTGAGGGAGGCTTTCTAGACTTCCAAGATCACATTAGCCAGGATATTAGCACACACATTTGGCTATCGAATTGCAAAGCAGATCTAAGATCATTTGAAATCCTTTCAGAGAGCAGGGCTAGCTTTGCAGAACAAGGGAGAGCAAATCTGGTAGCACACAGCCAACCTCCTCAGGCATCAGCATTTCCATGCCAGGCCCTGGCTAATCTCTCTCAGTACGATAACAGAGTTCTTGAATCATGAGAAATTTCCCCCCACTTACCAGCTTTACCCAAAGGGAACGCTGGCTCCCTGCTCCACCACCTCCTTCAAAGGGCCTCCCACGTCCCAGAGGCTGTGCGCTCCCTGTGACTTACTGCATGGAAGTCGCTCTGGGAACTTACGTCTCCACTAACATAAGGCAACCAGATCTTGTCTTCTTCAAGAACCTGTTAACACGTTAGTTTTCATTCTCATACTCAGTAGCTGCAAATAATGCCATCAAAAATGAAATTAAGCCTGGGCAGCTGATGCAATTACACCTCCCCATGTCTGCTTTCCCTCCGTTCTCCATGCGAGCCACACACGAAGCTGTGATGGTGGCAATCTGCAGAAGGGAGAGGTGGATGGACAGTGGAGGTGGAACATGTGGCCCAGGTTCATTTCACTTAGGTCAACCCTTGACCGTGCCAAAACAATGCAGCCAACGCAACCGAACCCAGGCAGGACGTAAGATCCCAAACTCTCTTTGTGTTTTTTAGCTGCATAAGGAGAATAAGCAACTGCTGTTCCCCACTGTCTCATACTTTGTAGGGTTTTCTTTCCCTTTGTCTCTTCATGGAGCCTTGGTGTCACTTCACCAAGGGCAAGGATGGAGAAGAGACCAGACCCTGGGGACACGGGTGGGCGGCCCAGCCTGCAGCCCCACTGCGTGGGGAGGTGGTTAGGAGGATCGGAGTTTTTCCTCCCAGCACCAAAGTGTTTATACCCAACAGGAATTCAGTGAAGTGAGCAGAAGAGGACTGGACAGCTAATTACTGCCATTTTGTGCCAAATAGCTGCCATCCCTGCCTGCCAGCTAACAGAATTGTTTTCAGATAGTTCAGCATTTCTTTAATGCTTATCCTAGATCTATTCAACAGAGAAAAAAGAAAAGGAAAGAAAATGTAACTCTTATCTGCAATATAAAACCTCAGCTATTTAGCAGACTATTGAAGTCCTTTTCTCGTTGTTCCTTTTCAAGTCTCTCACAACAAGATACCTGCCTAGTCCACAAAGACAATATTATAATGGTTACCAGGGTTTATCTTTTTCTTTCTTTTTTTTTTTAAATGCTACTTTTTCATGCACTTGTGGAAAAAACTGTGCCATTAACGCCCTTACAGCTACCTTGAAAAAAAAAAAGACCTTCAAAGTGTCAATAGCAGATGTAGTGCACTCTCCTTCCTTTTATTCACTCTGCAGAATGGGAAGTGCTATTACTGCTGTTAGACTCATTTTCACTCTGCATGTAGTTTTCCTTGAAATCTATTGTCTTCACCCTTCACAATTTTTTATTGCATTGCTCTTCTAAATGTGTTATTTGTGCAGCTAATACATCAGGTATCAGGACGAAGAAAAAACCTTTGAGCGAAGGTAAAGCCAGAAACTTCCTTCACTTGAGCAATCTCAGATCTATCCCCTCGCTGCTTCTTCCTTTTAAAGCCATCAAACTTTGACCCACTGACTCTAAAATGGACAAATAGCACAAAAAATCCCACATCTGCCTTTTTCCAGGCTATTGTTCAGAGGTCACGATATAAAACAGATAGAAAGGACGCAAAACACTGGAAGGATGTAACTGGAAAACTGCTCATCGCAAATTACATTTTTCATCACTGATACAGTGCTTTGCAGCTCTTGAAGACAAAAAAAAGTCAATTAGAATTACAATGAATGTAAAAATAAGCTTTTGTAATAAAAACCATAATTTAAAATGGGATAATGTATCTGAAAATGAAAAGAGGAATCTCTTAAATCAAATGTCCTTCAGCTGAAGTTAATTTCAGTCAATAGGATTTTCAACTGTTTAAATCATATTTTAGCACTGGATTTATACGAGAGCAGCAAAAAAGAAGTCCCGTGTTTTATCACCTCTGTGGCTTCCAGTGCAAACTTTCAGCCCACCGGCAGCAGCAGCGTACCAAACGTGGAGGGACTGACGAACGCCACATCTTCTTCTGGGTGTGCAATCGTGGTGCATTCGCAACAAATGCCCTTGCTGAAGGGAGCAGCCTAAAACATTTTGCTCCTGGGACCCCACACCCGATGAAGGACAGAAACTGTGCATCGTGGCTATGCATGGGGATGCTTCCACTGGCTCATATGGGCTGGATGAGGAGTGGGGATTGCAGGGCCACAAACACCCGGTTTTCTTGCTCGCTCTCCAGACTGATACGGTCAATCAATTATACAACAATATATTCCCATCACTGGCCCAGGAGGGCGGATGTTTGCCCAGAGATGACCCGTTCTCTTAATGTACCATATCATATCCACATTAGGTGACAGTTGTAGCATACGTCGCTCTGTCTGCTCTCTGTTTAAACACATTGGGGGTAAATATTAAATGTGATTTAGCACCATAACTCCCATTAGCTTTAATGGGAGTCCCATGGTTTCATCCTGTGTTTCTTGATGAATATTTACCTCATTGTTCATTTCAGCGCTCGTTTTTATCTATTCCTACTGTGCCAACTCCTGCTTGAAGTTATAATGATATAATTTTTATTTTTAAGTGTGTGCACACATGGTTATTGGTAATGCTCATGAAAGCCCGGGACTAACAGCGTTGCTGGGCTTTGCCTCAAGCAAAGGGATGGCCAGCCCTTCCCTGTGATGCACCCCCAGCCCTCCAGTGCTCCTGACACACTGGGGATCCTTCCTCTAAAAACACTCACAATCCACCATGATTCTCCAATCTGTTGTCATTTTACAAGCAATGGGAATAACTACCATTCTTCTTTTCCTGGGAACAACCAGAAAACTACAGCTATGCACTGGCTCTCATAACCAGTGCATCTGGTACTGGGAACCAATATATCCACAGCCAGCCAGGGACCTGAGAGCTACGGGGGTATCTGCCACAGGATTTTGCACAAGTCCTTCAATTTTTTCCCGCAAAATGTGGAGAATCATATCGCACTCACTGCCTGCAAGACATTGTCAGGTGTAATGATGTTTGTAAAGCTACTGGAAGTCTTAGAAAGAGAAGTCCAACGCATGCAGAGAGTGCTCTAGCTCGTTTTGCTGACACAGCAGTGAAGGAGGTTTGAATGCAGGTGCGTGAACCAGCCCCTGCAGCCCAAAGCTCACGGCTCTGTCCTTCGCACGGCGCTTGCACGGCGCTTGGAAAATACCATGGATAGAAATGGGACAATGGGGAACAGGATGGGAAACATGACATCTCCCAGCAGTGTCACTCCCTGAGGTACTTACTTAGTAAAATAATGATGCAGATCAAGATGGCGATGATGGCACCCGTGCCAAGCCCCGCTGCAGCCACCGCCCCGATGGTGGTGCAGTCGCCGTTCTCGTCGCACGGGCACACCTTCACTTTGATGACGCATGTGTTGTACAAGGGGGGGTTTCCTGAGTCCGTCACGATTATCGGCACATCATACACACCCGCTTCCAGGTACATGATTCGTAAACTAAGCTGGGCGTAATCGCCTGGAGAGACCAAGACAGACAGACAGATGACAGACACTCTGGGAGAGCCTGGCAGCCACACTTGTACAGGCAGGGCTCCTCTGCCAGAGCAGTCTTCTGAGTTCTGAAGAAGAGGCTATCAACAACACACCTGGACAGGACAGCTTCAGACTTCTGCCCTAACAGTTTGGTCAACAATCAGCCTGTGTTTTGCAAAATACTGTGTGTTTTCACTGCTGCACTAACCTACCTTGACGCCATTTGCAAATCCAGTTGCATGCATTTAAAATGGCACGAAATGCAAATACTGAAGCATGGATGATGCTCCCTGGGTGTCAGCTGCCCCAGGCCACTGCGCAGGCTCTCTGCTCGCCCACCCTCCCATTTCGGGATTTTTGGGAAGCCCATTGCCTGTCAATGACATGCTCAGCCAGGTAATCCTTCTCGTGTTCTCTCCCATTGCAATACAAGAGCTGTGGGACTGAGCCCCGAGCTGCGAGGGCACAAGCCGTTGCCCCTGGCAGAGGGTGCCAGACTTCAGCGAGAGGGACCAGCTTTAAAGCCAAAATCAACCCATGGCTCCATGATATTTTCCATCCTCTGCTGAAACTACCAATAAGAGGAGCAATTAGGGCCATTTGCGGTTGCATGCTGCGATATAAAAATCCTTCACATACTGGTAATCTTCACACTTTACCTAGCCCTCCTGGTTCCATGGTAAGTTAAAAGGCTGCCTTTATGCAATTATGGTCAGAGGAATGAACATTGATCCTGATTGTGGCTTATGACAATTACACTGGAACATAAGGAAGACTGATAATAGCTTTTTTCCCCTTGGCCATTATGGATGATTTATACTCCGTTCACTACTGATAACTATTCATAATTATGAACTGCATTAAAAAAAGCCAAGTGCCAAGGCTCTTAGAGTTATGCTGCAGGTCTGATACAAATCATTTCCGATTAACTATCTTGTCTATAATGTCAGCCATAATGTGCTTTAAAAAATAAAAATCAGATAAAAAAGTAGGAAAGTTTGGAAGTTTGAAACCGCACGTGGCCTCATTAGTGAATCAGAGTCCAAATGTCCTCAGGATTGCCTGCCCCATTTACCATTCAGCCGTGTTATGGTCCAGTTCTTCCTCACTGCAGATGGCACACTTGGCAGCTCGAAGACAAAGGGCCCAATGTTTGGATCGATGTCAGCATCCGCGGCTGTTATGTTGATGACATTCAGGTTTGGCTTTTCACAGATCTGTGCCTCCTTTGGCAGGAGCTCAGGAGCATTATCGTTGATGTCGATTAGGTAGATCTGCAGAGTGCCAGTGCCGCTTGCAGGGGGTATACCTGAACGGGAAGAGGCAGAGCCCGAACATGGACCGATGACCATCATTTGAGAAGCAACGGGAATGACAACACCGTGGACCAGCCCCCTCTCTGCCTTCCAATTTCAATAAACCAGGATTTTCACCCTCCCTTCTTGGACCTTATTAGGGACATACTGCACTTTCATGGTCCCTTGCTTTAAGAGGTATTATTAAAACTTCCCCAAGCCTCCTAACGTTGCTGTTTTTCATTCCTGCAGAACATGGAGGTTGTGTTCTGCAGATTTGTAGCCTACAGCAATGTCCTTAGTCAAACTCTAAAAATACAAGGAGGTGATGCCAAGCTGCTAGTGCAAATTTTCGTAATGGCTGTTTTGAAGAGGGAAAACCATTAGAAAGATAGCTAACAAGAGGAAGAAGAGGGCTTGGAGGGAAAAAACCCCTAAGTAGTGTAATCTGTTGGTCAGCCCTTGCTAGCCAGTTTTCAGATTTGCAGACTATTACACTGCTTCAAAGAAAGCCCAACTCTCCAGCCCATCCCACAGTCAGCCCTAGCTTTAGTGGTGAAAGGTCCTTGGTCAAAGCTTATGGTATGAGCTAACCATCACCAAATATGCTGGGTGATGCTACTAACCCACGGCAGCAGCAGTATGTCCCAATACACAGTTCTTCATCCGCTCTACATTTGTCCCAACCAGGTGGGATGCCGCAGAACAGCAGTTTTGGTCCTCCAGCCCCTTACTGATGAGGAGCCACATTTGTCTGACTAATGACCACTTACACAAAGTAATACCTGCCCTAGCAAGAGAGAACAGCCTTCCCAGAAACGGTACAGTATTTTTAGTTTCTCTCCCCACACATACATCTGGCAGCTCCGTGTTGGCCTGCCCACCGCCTCCCTTCTCAGGCAGTGTTGCTTCAGAAATTCTTTTTTAAGTTTGTATTTTCAGTCCTGCCTCTTCCTCCCAGTGCTGGATATAAAGCTACACAAACCACTTCCCCACTAGACTTTCAAACATTGCTTCTGCTTCCACAGACTTTCCTTCCTACATTGCTTTCTAATTTCTGCTCCATTTTTCAAGGGAGCCGAGCCTTGAAAACTGTGAAGGAGCCCTGAAAATCCTTCTTTCACGGTTCCTACATAAGCTCTTCAATCATTGATCTCATCCTTTCATCTAGTAAGCACGGGGTAGGTCTCCCTCTAAAACAATGTCTTTGATCAGCCTTGAAAGTTTCTGGAGAGACAGACAGCCCATCAGGATACCAGGGCTGAACATGAAAACAGACTTTTGGGACCAAGCAAAGTGATTTCACTGCTTTCACATTACCCAGAATATCTTCTGGGATGAATGCAAGGCCCACACTCTAACCTCTGAGATAGACTGAACGCAAACGAGCAGTCCTGAGAGGCACTAACTGGCATGTGGCTGAAATAACCTGCAATTGCCGCACGTACAAATGCAGTTTTGTAGGGCTGTTGGGTGTTGTTGGGCTCTGGTTCCTGGCATTTTTTGTTCTTTGTGCTCCTGAGTGCAGTTCTGGGGCAGTCTCAGGAGAAACAAAAAGTAAACAATTTTTTAAATGTCCAAGTGCTACAAACCATGGAACATTTCAAATTATTTCAGCAGTCTTATGTGGAGAGCAAGGACGTGGATAGAGCAGGCACTGATGTACTACAACGGATCCTTGGACTTTATGCTCAAGAGATGAGGACTACCATAGCACCACTGACTCCAGTGGAGAAGCTGGTCCACTCCCTGAAATTAAGATTGAAATACTAATGACAATATTTCAAAAGAAAGAGGAATACACAACTGCTACATCTACATTTAACTGTTGTGCTCCCCATCATTGCCTTTTTTACAGTGCCAGTGTCAGCACTCCCGGAGCAAGGTACAAGCCAACTGGCTTTCATGTTCAGCTGCAAGCAGGAGTCATTCCCATCCTGCTTGTGCAAAAATTTCTAAGGAACTTGGGCCACCGTCCTGACAAATCATGGCAGAAATGAAGTAAACTCTGTTTGTGGCTAACCAGCATCTTCTTGTCATTGTGTGCCCGCAGCAATGCAGGGTCACTAATGCAGTCTGGTTTCCTACAGGATTGGGCCCCAAAGGTGAGTTCCCATGGGGTGCTCTGATACCGAGGAAGGGCTGGGACCCTGCTTCCTCCAGTTACAGAGTCTCTCTCCCCTACTCAGCTCCCTATTTTATGAAACCTGTTGGAACATGATACATTTGAGTTCTCAGCTTCCCTGTGAGATTGGTGGAAACTGGCTGAAGGGTTCAAACACTGCCAGGCTCCACACTTGCGTAGACACAGAGTGATCCAAGAGCCTCTCTCTCCTGGGAAACCGGGCTAAAAATATGCTGTTGATTAGGATTCCCCCTTTTCCCCCCTTACATTGCAGCCAAGACTTTTCTTAAAGTGAGTATCTCTGCACTGTAGCCCAGGCAGAGAAAGAGAGCATGTCCAAGGAGTATTTGGCTAAACTTCTTTCTCATATACTGAAAATAATGAAAAGAACTTCAAGGAAACAAGATGCTGCCGCTTCTTCAAGAAAGAAAGAAAAATCCCCACCAAAACCCCCGACCCAAAGCCTTTCTTTGATGGGTACGTGATGCCGGAGAACGTGGAACTTGGGAGAAATGTGGAAAGAGTCTATTAGCCTAGATGAAACTTTAGCTGTTATCCCAAGCACTCTAGACAGAATTTTAAATAAGGTGTTGCTTTATGTGCATTTTAATGGCTGGAATATACCAGTGATAGATTAATTTTTCAGAATAAAGAGATTTATCTAGGTCCTCACTTTCTGAGCTGCTGAATGATGGATGTGGAGGCGCTGATGCACTGCAGCATCAGCACCGAAGCCAAGGAAAGGGGTTAACTCCAAATCACGTTGTACTAAGTGCCTGGGATTTGCAAGGTCAGACGGTGAGGCTTAGTTTGATGGGTTCAAGCTCTACCACTGCTTTTGTGAATAGCCTTGGCCAACTCATCTGACCTGTTTTGCCCTGCAGCTCTTGCAGATGAATGCTGCTAGAACCCCTTGGGAATATTTTGGATTTCACTGCCCTGGCTGCCTTCACAGAGGGGAAGATTAGGATGGGGCACCAACCCTACCACTGATGGCACAAAAAATGGGCAAAATTTGCTTCTTGGTACTGCTACTCAGCATGGAAACTCTTCCATGAGTTTGCCTTGCCCCTGTGAGCCAGAATGCAATGACTGAAGGGAAGCCTGAAACCCCAGAGGAAGCAAGTTTTCATTAGCCCTGCACGCATCACTGTATCTGCTCATAATGGACATGGCACCCTTCAGCCTGAGGGATGACAAGAGCTAACACAAACACTGTCCTGAAAGCACCTACAGAGTATGAGCAATATACTTAGGTGCTCACAGCCAAGCCTAGACTTAATTTTGATGCTGAAGCTTGGCTCTGGTTTGATGTGAGCCTTCAGCACCCTGCAGGGGGAAGGCGAGGGTGGCAGAGGAGGAGGAAGGCCCTCTCCTTGCCCAGGGAAGCTACTGCGCCCTCCACAGAGCCTTTTCCATCTGGAAGAACCGATGAATGAAATAACAGCATGGCCACGTCTAGGTATGGTTAGCCAAAAAGTCATCAACTCCTCCTAATCAGAATTAGCAAGAGAAATCTAGGGCAGCAGCAATGGACCGCCTGCCCTTGAGTGAGGCCAGCGCTGAGGTTCACCGTGCTAATTTGACCAACAGTGCTGTGTGATCTTTAATGAGCAGAGAAGAGGAAGCCCTAACAGGTCTTCTCTGCAAGAAGATCTTACTGGCCTCAGTGACTTTGATAATAAAGTACACCAGCATCCTGACGCTCTGATGATGGCTGGCCATTTCAGAAATGGCAGCAGACAGAGAGCGATTAGCTCCGATGACAGACAGACAGACAGACACCTTTCATGAAAGCCACAGCAGTTCAATGGACTGGTTTATTTTTAATACCCTCCTGCTATCCCCTACAATTATTTCTGGTTTCCTGATGAAAGGCTTCCTGAACGCTCTGATCAGCGCCTTTGGGACGATTACCAGGACTGGTGTGTTCGGCAGCCCTTGGAGAGCACACCCCTTTGATATTTTTTTAAGTTCAGGCTACACCACTACACTGAACTCCCCAAATTGATTTTCCATTTGCCCTCCCTTTCCCTTAATAACACTCTCCGTACACTGTGCACATTTAATTTACTCCAGCAATTTCCCGTCCCACTTTCACATTTTTGACCATAAAAACCTGGGAAAAAGATAACTTATACTGACAACTCTGTCAGGGCATCATTTCTCTTAATGCATCACATTAGAGTCTTATTGAAGCATGAACAATGTGAAGCCTGGGCTCACCGTTGTCAGCCGCCAAGAATGTGGCCTCGTAGACATTATTCTTAATGTAGTCTGACTCTCGATCAAGGACAGCAGCAGTAGTGATCTGACCATTTGTGGCATTAATGTTCAGCCAGTTTGCAGGATCTGACAGCTTAGAGTATCTACAGAGAAAGGAAATAAATACATGGCAGTCTTTTCACTGACATATCCTTAATATTGCTTGAAATAAGGTTTTTCTGGACTCCTGACCCATGATTCAAAGGACCTTTGGATAGATAACTGGTTTTGTTGACAAACAAAACACTAATTGAGTATCTGGTTTTTGACCTCTATAATTATTCAATTTTTCTATTTCTTTCGTTTTATCGGTTCTTCTTTCCACTAAGTGCCACTTACATGCCAGCTTCCTGCTGCTGGGAGCGGACACAGCCTGAGGTCTCTGCAGCCCAGGAGAAATGGGGTCTGCAATGACCACTGCATTCGTATGCCTGAATTAGAGGATGGATTCCTGCGCTCTCCTTCTCCTAATGTTGCCCTTCCTAAAATAGCTCTTGATTTAAAGCCATGGATATTCCTGTCTTCTGCCCATCACTAATAAACAACAGTTTGGGAAATACCACATTGGAAGAATGGCAGTTTTCAGGCCACTCTTTTGTATCAGAATTGTATCTTCAGCAGCGATTGCCTTGGGGACACTACAATGGGAACTCACAGCTGTATTAAGGCATGGACCCAAGGGTGAAGCAGTTTCAGGTCTGCTCTCCTGAAACATTTTTATATGTTACTGAAATAGCAGGTAAAACGATCCTATGCATATGGGAGGTTCGAAGAGAGTAGCGACAAGGGGGTCCCCTTGGCAGTCCCCAGCGTGCCCTGGGCTGGAAGGACCCAACGGCAGACTCGCCTCCCAACTGCTCAGTCAACTCATAGCCCAAGACTGTTCATGTGCTACGCAGCCAGCTATGAACATGGTTTGTCTTGGGCAAACTTCTTCCATGTCCTCCAGATCAACGTGTTCTGTTTACCTTTCTCACTCGCTTGTTTTCTCCGTTTTATTTTATTTGTTGCTTTTGATTTCTACCTTTCAGTTTTGTACAGTTTGAGTTGAGATGGACCCTTATGACCTAAACTAGAAGCTAATAAATGGCCAAACTATAAATTCCTGAAATAAGCAAACAAAGGCTGTGCTTATTTCACGGGTAACTCAGACCTGCTGATAGTTTTATATAAATTTTTTGTAGTTAGATATGCAGGCGGGAGAACTTCTGGCTTCTGGTGAATATCCCTTTCCAGAAATGGGTTGTTTGAAGCTGAAACTTAAAGTGAAACTTGAGCTGCGTCAATCCATGTGAGCAGGAAAGCAACACACAGCTGCACAAGCCCCTGCCAAAGGAAAGAATTACATTTCATGGAGCTAGACTCTTTGGGATGTTTTCATTTCTTTTTAATATCCCTGCTGTGAGTCTCCTGCCCTTTCTCTGCTAAATGACCAGGGATCCAGTTTCAAAGCTGGCTTTGCGAATGTGTCTGTGGCTAATGAGGATAACTTGAGGTGTGACATTGGCCATGCCAAGCTGCGCCTTGCTGAAGATGCTCCTGCTTCCTTATCTTCTATTTGTCAAAACTCTATTTCATCAAAGACTATTTAGAGAGAGACCGAAAACTGTATGCAAGGCTCTAGCAGCTGGATCAGCCCTCTGCAAAGTGCTTATCATGGATCCGTAGGCTTAGCTTTTTGGGTATCTTTTTTCCTAACTCAGCAATGCCAACTGTGAAGAAAAACAAAATATCCTTTGCACAGCCCACAAAGACAGGACCCCAACAACACCCCACTGCTTCTTGCAAAGCCTTGGCATTGGGCTGTCCTGATGAAAAGCGGGTAAGAGAGATTGTACTTGGGTTTGGAAATGAAGTGCTGGTGGATACACAAAATGTGTGTCCTGGAAGCCCTAGGAAAAAAACAACTCAAGTAATTGGCTGTTCATAGTCACAGAAAGTCCTACAATGCACTGTGCGCTGACAGAAACGGCTCAGCAGAGCCGGTCCTTCTCCCAGAAACGGCAGATACTCGTTTGGATTACAGATCATCCACCTCCGGGTTAGAGGGAGTATTCAATCAGAAATGAGCTGTTCTCTCCTCTAAAACCAGCCCTGGTACAGACGTCAGGGAAATAAAGACCCTTCAAAGGCCAATATTTCAAAAAGAATATAAGAAAAACTGGCTTGTTAGTTAGGATGGTCTCTCTCCTCAAAAGTCGCAATACCTGTCTAAAGACAACAAGATGAGGCAGTGAATAAACTATCATTTTCTAGACCAGACAGCTCTGTGCCAGGTGAAATATTTCAAACTCTTCCTGACACGAAATGTCACAACTGATGTAAGTTTAAGTGGCCTCGGCTGTGGTCACGTCTTATACTCAGGTTTTGCCAAAAATACTGCGGTTCTTACAGACTGGGAGTAAAAAAGAAACAAACTTCTGTGGATGTAGAAGTATCCAAGAGCAGGAAACACATTTCCCATCTGCACAGATGGAGGCTGAAATACTTGTGAAAGGTATCACAAGGACTCTCATTTTCACACACGCTTTTCTGCCAATATATTTCCCAGTGGTTCTAGTTGGGGTCCGGGACCGTGGATTCAATCCCCAGTCTGCCCAGGTGGGACAAAACACAGCGAGTGACACCCTCTCGGTCGCAGCATGGACTAAATCCAAACTTAAACTGCTTAGATCAAACATCTGATTTTTAGAAGGCTAAAATTTTGCCAGCTGAATCCCATTCATAGGGAAAGCAGCTAACGGGGAGGTTAGGTTTAGCAGTTGGTCTGAATGGAAAGGGAAGGTCAGAACAAATCTGGCTGACTACAGAGCAGGCAAGGGCTGCATTAGTCAGATAAAGACCAAATGCCAATGGCATGTTGCGCTGGTTTTGACTGGGATAAAGTTAATTTTTTCCGTATTAGCTTGTATGGGACTATGTTTTGGATTTGTGCTGCAAACAGTGTTGATAACACAGGGATGTTTTCGCTATTGCTGAGCAGTGCTTACACACAGTCAAGGCCTTTTCTGCTCCTCACCCCACCCCACCAGCGAGGAGGCTGGGGGTGCACAAGGAGTTGGGAGGGGACATGGCTGGGACAGCTGACCCCAACTGGCCAAAGGGACATTCCATACCATATGGCGTCATGCTCAGCATATAAAGCTGGGGGAAGAAGGAGGAAGGGGGGGATGTTCAGAGCGATGGCGTTTGTCTTCCCAAGTAACTGTTACGCGTGATGGAGCCCTGCTGTCCTGGAGATGGCTGAACACCTGCCTGCCGGTGGGAAGTGGTGAATGAATTCCTTGTTTTGCTTTGCTTGCGTGTGCGGCTTTTGCTTTACCTGCTAAACTGTCTTTATCTCAGCCCACGAGTTTTCTCACTTTTACCCTTCTGATTCTCTCCCTCTTCCCACTGTGGGGGAGTGAGAGAGTGGCTGTGTGGGGCTTAGTTGCCGGCTGGGGTTAAACCACGACACATGTACATGGGTGTTTGACTACTCAGGCAATTTTTAACTGTACGACATCTTAAAAGCCTGTTCAGCAGCTGTTTGTAACCAACCGAGCCTTGCTTTGAACGGGCTGACAGCTCCTCTTGCACTGTGCTTTTTAAGCCAGGTTGAACCTAAATCCTCTGGAAGCAACACAAGACATGATTAAAAACCCCAGTCATTCTCTTTGGAAATCTAGCCATAGCCCTTCTATGCCTCAGTTTCCCCTCTGTAAAACAGAAATAACAAAGCTGCCTTTTTCAAAACCTTTGTGTTTATGAAGTGCATGTACAACGTAGGTCAAAGCATTCTTGACGAGGCAGAGACAAAAAACTTAGCACAATGCAGCCCTGACCTCTGTCTCTGTAACAACACAGGGACCCCTTGCTATCGACTGCTTGCATTTGAAGCTGCAAACTGCCTCTCTGCAAGCCAGTAACACAGGATCCAACTCTGTCTGCCCTCCTGGACCCAGCTGCTCAGAGCTTGGCTTATCTGGAGGGGGGAGGATTGCGAGTTTACACGCAACTCGACTGAGGGTGCCAGTCCCTGCCAAGGATTTTACTCGTATCCTGTCAGTTAGTTCGTGAATTAGCTTTCAGCTGCTTTGCTCCCCAAACTTCGGCAGCTGAAATCCCCCTCCTGTACACGAGTTCACTCGGCTGGTCTCCCACCTTACTGCCTGCTGCATGAAGCGATCAGGATCCACCGCTGAAAACGTTGTCAGGACTGTCCCCGTAGGCACCCCTTCCTCCAGCCTGATTAACTTGTGGTTCGTTGGGAAATATGGTGCTTCGTTGACATCTGTAACTGAAATGGTGACTCCCGCTGTTGACTGGAAGGACATCTGGATACCACTGGCCAGGGGAGCTTGGTTTGATACCATCACTGTCAGCATGAAAGCTCTGTTCATCTCGTAATCGACTGCCTAAAACAAACAAACAAGCAAGTATAGAGCCAAGCAGAGAGTAAATTCTACCTTCTGGCTGAAAGCTGCAAGATTTAGAAGGTAGATGATATCAAAATCATTGCCTCATCTCTTTCCTCCTGAGCTCACTTCTTTTGAAGGTGTAAATCCAGACCAGCTTCAATCCAGTGGAGGATTTGGCCTTCTGGTATTTGGAGGGTCAAATAGTTAAAAAACCCCCATGAAGTAAAAACTGCGAACAGCAGGGAGGATTTGCCCTGTGTTTTGTTCCAATGCTAAGTGGTTTCCAAAAAAGAACCTGCCTGTGCTGGTTGAGCATTGAATGAGCAAATCCACCAAGGGCTGCTCTAAATGCAAGAGACGGAGCCTGTTAAGAGGGACTGGACAGGTACTTAACAGTGCTATTAGCATTTAAAGCTGCTGACTAAGTAACTAGGACAGTCTATGCGGACTCATGAGCCTGAAGTGCTCTTCATTTTTCCTCTTAAGTGAGTTTATAAGCAAAGGTGGAGCTGCAAGGAACAACGCCTAGTCTGGTTAATCAGGCCGTCCTTCCAGTGGGACCTCCTGTCCTCTTGCAAGATGCCTCGCGATCTCCCGAGGGTGCCTGCCCACTCCCACGGATGCATTGTGCTGTTGGGTGGCCACAAATCTCTTTTCAACAGTGTGTCTTAAGAGCCAGAAGCAGTGAAAAGCCTTCGCTGGCACAACTGACTGAACCGCAGTATAATAATAATTTCTAAACCATCCCACTAATTATTATGAGGGAAGTCACTAATGATCTGCCAGGGAGGCTTGAGTTATGCAGGATCACACCTCTGCTTGTTAAAAAATGCTTTGCTGTAATTTATGAATTTAGAAGCGTAACCATTCCCCCTAATACCTTCTCGAGCGCTGAGTCTGCAAAGCGTACTCTCACGGTGTAAAACGCCGCGGTTACATTGACTTCGGTAGAGCTGTACTGATTTACATCAGCAAGATCTGGCTTCCATGTTCTGTTTAAAACCCAGTATTGTCAGGAGAGAAAACAAATCATAGGGGGCTACAGGAGAGAAGCAAATTTCAGGGGCAAAAGGTAAAACAGTGGAATCTCTATTCCACTGAAGTGCGAATGTTCTTATTGCTAAATGGTTTCCTGACAGGCAGGGCCAACATTTCATAAATACAAGGAAGCATAAAGATTCCCAGTACACCCACCAGCACTGACTCACGGACCTGTACCGCATTCAAAAAAGACACATGGTAAAAGTTCCAATTCAAACACTACTCAAGGCCTTGAAACAATTTGACTAATGCATTTCCGCAATTTCTTTTCACGCCCCTCTAATTTATATTCCTCCAGTCTTCTTTTTTTTTTTTTGGGCTGGCCTGTTTGTTAACCTTGCCCACACCTCCCTCCCCGCAGGGGCTCCCACGGAGCTGGGGGGTGATTTGAGCAGCTCCAGGGGGGACTGATGCGGGAAACCACTGGGCTGCCTGCCCGATGACGCACAGGACACTGACCACACATGCATCTGCTAGGATGTGGCCTGATGCAAGGGAATGGTTTTTTTCCCCCCAAAATGTAGAGCTGCTCACTCAGCTTCTTTCCCTCTTCTGGGAGCAACAAAACCAGGGCTGCAGAAAAGCAGTGCAGGGAGCGGGGCTGGACCGGGATCACCCAGGAACACCCAGTCCACAGACTGTCCTGGAGGCATCAGTGCCACGTGCTGGCACATGGTGGCAGAGTGTCCGCTGCACTTCAGTCTGCAAGAGAGCGCCAATCTGCCTCCTTCTCTTCTGTGCTCATCTGAGATCCATTGCACATGTTTTGTTGAAAAAAACCCCAAAACCGTAAAATCTGGGAGGTTCCTGGAATGTGTTGATGATAACTTAATTCTCCAAGTGTAGAGGAGCCAACAAGGAGAGGTGCTAC